TAAAATTTGTCATGAATGTCGTATTGAACAGCCACGCTAGATCATTTGAAATTAATGTCACCCATGACACAATCTTTGAACTTACTTATAAGTTTCTTATATTCATCAACGTCCTTCCCGATGTCATCAGTTCCCAACTAGGTATATATGCTGATGACATAATTATTTACTCCTGTTTTAATAGTAAGTCCGAAAGTAAAAGTGGCAGTTGATCTCGAAAATGACCACCAATTAGTTGTTAACTGGGGCAAGAGAAAAACGAAACTGCTATACTTTAACTATCATAAAGAACTATTTTTGCCCTTAGTCAGCATGGCTGATACTAACCCCCAGGTCAGCAACCCATTAGACTTTCTTGGCCTCACATTTTCCACTAACATGAACTGGAATTATTATATTGAACCAATTGCTAGGTCTACTGAAAAAAACTTTGGTTCACTGTGTTGTGTCAGACAATTTTTATCCATCCTGGGTAAGACAATAAACTATATCTGACAACAAGATCTCTGTTCATGAGGTTTCGAGGAGCGTGGAACGACCTCTTAATTGCTGGTCTTCCCAGGTCTACCCTAACCCTGGGTGGTAGCAACTGTTAGGGTCATAGCTATGGGCAAATAGTTCACCCCAAACTGGGATCAAAACACTCTAAAAGTGTAATAGTAGGTTTTAGTACCAGCAATACATTTTTATAAAAAATATTACCAGCAATACATTTTTTAAGAAAAAATATTACCATCAATACATTATTACCAGCAATACATTATTACCAGCAATATATTTTTGAAAAAATAAAATATTACCAGCAATACATTTTTGAAGAAAAAATATTACCAGCAATACATTGTTACCAGCAATACATTTTTGAAAAAATAAAATATTACCAGTAATACATTTTTGAAGAAAAAAAAATATTACCAGCAATATATTTTTGAACAAAAATATTACCAGCAATAAAAAATCTTGTCAGTATTAAATAACCCATTGAGGTTGATATGGCCTAAAGGAAAACAAACCAATTTTTCTCCCTCAGAATTCATCTTGAACGTTTATAAATCTACTATTCACCCGCTGACTGAATACTGCTACCACATTTGGTCTGGTGCTGCAGCTATCTCGAGATTCTTCAAAGAAGGGTCTGTAATATTATCGGTCCTGACCTGGCATCTCAACTTCAGTCATTTACACACCGCTTTGATGTGACTTCCCCCTGTCTTTTCTATAAATATTTTCATAGCAGTTGTTCTAATGAGCTCTCCTCCTTGGAATCCCGACCGCAAGAATTTAAGCGTACTACTAGATTGGCAACTATGTGTCTTTGTTTTACTCTTGAAATTGCTCGATGTAACCGCAAGTTCTATTCTAATATTTTCTTTTTCACGTACTTCTCACCCGTGGAACTCTCTTCCGAACTCTTGCTCCCCTACAACTTACAATCTTCCAAAATTTAAATTCAACTTCAATCGCAGTCTTCTGTCTTCCTGAACACTTTTCTTTTATTGTCCTTTCTCTTCGCCAAAGTCATCTCAGTCACTTCCACTCTCAGTAAACCCTTGCGTCCGAGAGGCATTATGACCTTGCCTGGGGTGAAATGATTCAAAATATCTTCTTCTTTTCTGAACCAATATTAAAATCCATCCATATCGATGGCCATTCTATCAAACTAGTTCTTTTATCTATTTAAGTATCAGTGTGAGGTTGACTACAGGTAGGACCACCCAATTATGGGAGAAGAGAATGAATCTTTCAGCGTATGCCAGCTCACACCTGGCCCTCTTCAGGTGTTATACTTGAAATTTCGAACCGAACCCTACCGAGGTAGACTGTTCTAGTTCCACGTGCCATGCCTCTTCTGGATATCTCAGTTTCAGTTATTTCCCTTTAGCAAATCAACTCTCCAAGTTTTTGTTTATCTCTGCTGTGACCAGATATTGAACTCACAACTCTTTAGGTAACGTCACTGGATTACTTCAACCAACGCTTCTCTCCATCTGTCCTTGGGGGAAATCAGAGCATCAATTTTTGGAATTTATAAACTTAATGTCTCAGTAACCATTTTTACCAGAGCTCATATTACAATTTTTTGTTATCATTGCTTTTCTTTAGTAATCCGTATTACTTGTTCGTATATTGTATTTATGTTTATGCTTGGCCGACTGAGGAGATTTTTGTGGCCTAGCATATGCGCTGGTTCCTTCAGTTTTCGTATTTTCCAGTGAGTGATGTACTCTGTCTATTATTTTAAGATCATCCCACAGGTGGGGATAGTGATCTCTCTTTTCCCTCTATATATAGCCAGCCAAGCTTTATTTTTCTATTTCCCGTCGTGTTACGGCTTTACTGTGTTCCTGCATTCTTATCTTAAGGAGACGGCCTGTTGTTCTTTTATATTTCTTGCCACAGCTACATAGGATGGCGAAATGACGCGAATATTACCACAAAGAATAGGACAATAGTCATAACAATATAAAAAGAGTAAATAGTTACAGTACCTCATCTCAGAAATATAGACAGATCCTGAAGACTGCTAGAACGTACAACGGCCGAAACGTTGTGAATATGACAACAAAAATAAGGACAACAGTCCGAACAATGTAAATAGAGTAAATAGTTACAATACCTCATCTCAGAAATATAGACAGATCCGGAAGAAGGCCGGAAGGTACAACGGCCGAAACGTGAATATGACAACAGAGATGAAGACAACAGTCCGAACAATTTAAATAGAGTAAATAGTTACAATGTCTCATTACATAAATATAGACAGATCCTGAAGAAGGACGGAGCGTATAACGGTTGAAGCGCTGTGAATATGACAACAAAGATGAAGACAGCAGTCCGAACAATTTAAATAGAGTAAATAGTTACAATACCTTATCTCAGAATTTTAGACAGATATTGTAAGCATTTATTTAGTAGGTGGGTCCTGTGTGGTATAACCTTAAAGTTCTTCAAGGGTGCCTTTATATAGTGACTTCATTTCATTAATAATTTTATACGATAGATTTATACATTGTACCCTGGGGAATCAGCGGCCTGGGTACATGTTTAAGCTAATGAGAATTATGTTACAGAATCGTTGGTATTAAATATATGATTTCATTACCGTATTTGACGGAATAAAAGACGCACTTTTCTTCCAAATAAATGACTCAAAAATCGCCCCGTAGCTTCTATACGAAGTTGAGGCTTCACATAGGCTATAATTTTACTATAGGCGATCACATCTACCTACCCCAATTCAATAATAATAATAATAATATTACTTAAGCGGCGTTTTAATTATTACTACTAGTATTACTATAACCTCTACAACTACTACTGCTACTACTACCGTAAAGTGAATTATTACAACAAAGTACCGGCGACGTTCATCGGGACCAGCTGATCCATCAAACCTAAATATGTCTCCGTACACTCTTATCATTAACCAAATTGAATCTACAGAAGAAAGAGACTTAACAGAAAGGAGGTACTCACAATGGTAAAACACTAACCTGGGAAAATAGCTTTAAGGCTACAGAGAAATATATCTGTTAAAAGAAGGCGCCAAAGAATGATAACTGGTGAAAGTGCTTGCAAGCTTGCTTTTTATATACAGTAATGTTTAATGCTGATGCTTTTCTCACTTTTTTCCTAATGTACTGATTGCCTGCTTTAAACATTATATGCATAAATAGATTAAAAGCTTTTTCTGAATATTTCCTGCTAAAATGCGGTTTCATTTGATACGCTCGGATGTCCTTTATGCCAGGAAATACGTTAATTTACGCTTCATTGTTCCTCATCGAATTTCTAGTCTCCCTCGTTCAACTTTACATTACAGTCTCTCCGCAATTTTTCCAATACTCACCTCGACCAAAAAAAGGCACAAGATGGCCAGACTGCAATAATGCAGTGTGTGCTCTGCGATTTCTTTGTTTGAATGATGATGAGCGCCGTGGTGGCCGCCATGATGGTCATCGTGATGTGCATCTCCATGGAGACTGAAGTTTCCATGGTATTCATCATCGGTGCTGTTCAGTAAGAAGTGGGTCACTGTCGCTATGGTCTGAGTAACTATCGAATGATCGTTATGATGATTGTGGTGTCGGCCACGGTGTTTCACATGGTGGTGACCACCATTGCCGTGATGGGGGTCCGGCATGACCATCAGCGGTGCGTAGGTGGCTTCATCAATGTTGCCGTTGTGTGTTACACTCTCGTGTGAGTCGTGGGTACTGTTCAGAACATCATGGCCGTTTCCTTCTTCTGGAACTGAAAATAATTTTTTTAAAAAATAAGAAATTAGCAAAAAGACAAGGAGTAATTCGAGGACAAAACACGAACACAATCTCCACCTCCTTCGCTCTTTCTTTCTTTCTTTCTTTCTTTCTTTCTTTCATTCATTCTCTCTTTCTCTTTCTCTCTCTTTCTTTCTCTCTCTCTCTCTGTATCGTCTACCTTCCTATCTCTGCTATATCTCACCCTTCTTCACTTTTTGTCTCTGCTTTATGTCCCGTTCTCTCCCATTCTCTCTCTTTGTGTCATTTTCTTTCTCTCTATCTCTCACTCTTTCTCTCTATCTCTCACTCGCTTCATTTCTATCTGTATATCTTCCTTTTTCTCTTTGTATCTCTGCTTTCTTTCTCTTTCTCCCCTTCTCTCTCTGTCTCTCTCTCTCTCGCTCTCGCTTTGTACAACATTTCTCTCTATATCTTTGTGTTACTCTCTCTCTCTCCCTTTTTCTCTCTACTGTATATCTCCCGTCTCTTTTCGCCGTTCTCTCTCTCCCCCTCTCTCTTTGTGCAACATTTCGATCTCTCTCTCTATGTCACTTTCTCTCTCTCTCTCTCTCTCTCTCTCTCTCTCTCTCTCTCTGTTTATATCTTCCTTTTTCTCTTTGTATCCTCGCTTTCTCTCTCGCATTTTGTACAACATCTCTCTTTCTCTCTCTCTCTCTCTCTCTCTCTCTCTCTCTCTCTCTCTGGTATCTCTCCTCTTTGTATCTTGCGGCTGCATTACGTTGAAATACCGATTCCCTTATGATCACCGAAGTTAAGCAACGTCGAATGTGGTCAGTACATAGATGCATGACCGCTTGGGAATACCAGGTGCCATAAGCTTGAATGTGTGTGTGGTGTAATGGATAATGTAAGCTTGGGAGTGCGGGTGGTGTAATGGATAAAGGCTCGGAATTATTAATCGGAGAGGCGAGTTCCAATTCCATTTACGCACATATACCCTTGAGAAATGTATGGATGCACTTTTTCTTCTCCCATCTATGGGTTAATTAGTAAGATTTGTATCATTTAACCATTAGTACCCCCACACCCAATTCTTCGAATTTAAAAATATTTATTTTCTAGTTTTAAATAACCTACAAAGGATTGATAAGCCGTAAAAAACGAATCAATCAATCGACGTTGCTTAACTTCGCTTATCGCACGGGTACCGATGTTTCAACGTGATATGGCCGTAAGCCGAAAAATCGAGTTAAGTTATCGGGAAATAAATACGTGAAATATAAGTAAACTGTTCAGATTAAATAAAATATGACAAATGATTTCAGAAGTGTCACAGGAAACAAGTCCGAAAAAGGCCAAAAAAGAAAAAAAAATTAACTGGATGATATTAACTTTAGAACAGTAGTTTCAAAACCTTTTAAAATTGCCGCCCCCTTACGTACCAAAACACAACCCTAACCCCCCTCCACACACACACACACAGACACACCAAATGTATAGTCAACCTTAGTATCTGTTATACCGGAACGTACCTATTTCTATTGTAAATAGACTCTCCCACAGATAAGTAGTAGTAGTAGTAGCAGTCGCCAGTGGAGTTCAGTGAGTTGTGTGAGTCAGTCGATGCCGGACATTAAAGTATAAGCCCCACAACTAGATTGCTGCGTCATTAACTATATTTCAAGTTCCTAACGTTTGTACGTCGAACCTAATTTAGGACCGACTGAGTGAAATACAAGCCTCCACTGTGAAAACTACTCTATAACAGTATCTTAGTATTTCCCCTGAGAATTGTTAGATAAATGGGATACAATGTAAATGGAGGGCAAGATACTCTTTATGTACAATATGTGTGTAGGATGTTATGTTATGGTTTATATTGGCCACTGGTACTCCCTCTCTACCGGCCTAATTTTTCTCACCAACCTCCGGGGGGTGTTATAACTCAATTTGGAATCACTTTATTAGGACAAACTAAAGATATTAGTATATTTTAGAATCAAAACGCTATAATTAATAGAGCTGAATTGCTCAATAATATAAGTCCTCCTCTATAGTGAATGCTAGACGATTTCCTCACAGATGAAGAGAAGTCTGGAGTCAACAGAGATGTAGTTCTACAGGAGGATGCTGAGAATGCCATGGACAGAGCCTGTAAGCAACGAGGAAATTTTAAAAGAAACAAAAACGACGCTTATGCTTGCTAGACAGTTGACATTTCTAACACAAATAATGAGGAAAGAAGGCTTGGAAAATTTGCCATTCACAAGGCATATTGAAAGAAATGAAAGTAAAAGAAATTGAGAGTAAGTTGCCTAACAAGATTGTGTAAATGAATGGCAGAACAGCAGCAGAGATAATAAAAAGACAAACATTGCTAAGCGCTACAAAGGATAGGAAGTTGTGGAGAGCCATGAACACTTACGTCCTAAAAGGATGTAGCACATAGAAGAAAATGAATACTATAGTACAAATGAGTACTGGTAATAAGGAGCCCGAACTATTTGCTAGCGCTTGGAGAGACTGTTCTGGTCAACAGTCGCAAAATAAGTTTGTGAAGTGCCATGTCGCTCTTGGAGACGTGTCCCTGCAAGAAATTTCGGTTGGCAAACCTGAGGCCACATTATGCTGCAGTCCTCGCCACATTCCAGGCGGCTTGTATTACCTCAGATGATGTTTATTCTGGGCTTTCTTCACTCAAAAACATTCTCATGAATACAATGATTAATAAAAATAATTGTAAACCAGTTTGTAAAAAAAAAAAAAAAAAAACTAAATGCCTTCAAACATTTCTAACGTTCGTGGTATTCATATCAATTTCTGTAGTGTAGAATTTTCTTTTCTCATAGAACATGAAATTAACTTAAACTCTTTAATCTCTACCACTGAATTCTTTGTTCCTGGCTATCTTCGAATAAGAATTCTATGATGCACATGTATGGCCTTGCTGTCTATATTCGGAAAAATCTCCCAATTGCAAGGCAACTGTCTCTTCAGTCTCTGGGTTGTATTAATACGTACTTTCGACTTTCCTATTAAAATCTGTTAATTATTCTATCTTTTTAGCTCCCCTTCTTCTCAGGACTGTAACTTGTTTTGCAAATATCGTTGTGTTTGACGACTTCACGGCGCATCACATCAAGAGACTTCATTTTAATACTATTGATCTTTTTGACTTTGAAATTTTTCAGTTGTCCAATCTTTCAGTCAAACAATAGATTAGGCAAGAATCTCCTATGCGCAAAACATTATTTTATTACCAACTGATTGTTACCAACTGATTAATACCAACTGATTTTATTACCAACTGATTGATACCAACTGATTTTATTACCATGTGATTCATTTCGCGATTTACTTCACGACGCCCCTTCCCATTAAAGATTGAGGTTTCCTCTTGGATAAAAGCCGACATAGAAGCTTTCGGGCCATCAATCTCCTCTTTGGTTCACGCCTACGTGCTCAGCCGCTATAACCCACAGGAAGCACTTCTTCCGGCTATACCAAAGAGACATTTCAGATAATAACTGACATCTCTTTATTTCCGGTCGTATTCGCTATTCGTTGATTGCGTAAAAATTTCCAGAAAGAAGTTCAGTATATATATATATATATATATATATATATGCGTATGTATGTGTGTATGCGTGTGTGTGCATATATACATATATATATATGTCAGTATGTGTGTGCATGTATATATATATATATATATATATATAGATAGATAGATAGATAGATAGATAGATAGATAGATAATGTATTACCTACACAACAGGAACCGTTTCTTGTTATAAACGTTATATTTAATCGATACACTTCTTGAGTTGACACTACTCACTTCATGTGTTCATCTAATGGTGTTAGTGTTTATGTGTGCAATAATTTTAAAATTCTATGCTTTCTTTTTATTTTCATTGGTCATGGAGACGTCACGTGTTCATCTAATGGTGTTAGTGTTTATGTGTGCAATAATTTTAAAATTCTATGCTTTCTTTTTATTTTCATTGGTCATGGAGACGTCACGTGTTCATCTAATGGTGTTAGTGTTTATGTGCAATAATTTTAAAATTCTATGCTTTTTTTTTATTTTCATTGGTCATGGAGACGTCACGTGTTCATCTAATGGTGTTAGTGTTTATGTGTGCAATAATTTTAAAATTCTATGCTTTCTTTTATTTTTCATTGGTCATGGAGACGTCACGTGTTCATCTAATGGTGTTAGTGTTTATGTGTGCAATAATTTTAAAATTCTATGCTTTCTTTTTATTTCATTGGTCATGGAGACGTCACGTGTTCATCTAATGGTGTTAGTGTTTATGTGTGCAATAATTTTAAAATTCTATGCTTTCTTTTTATTTTCATTGGTCGTGGAGACGTCACGTGTTCATCTAATGGTGTTAGTGTTTATGTGTGCAATAATTTTAAAATTCTATGCTTTCTTTTTATTTTCATTGGTCGTGGAGACGTCACGTGTTCATCTAATGGTGTTAGTGTTTATATGTGCAATAATTTTAAAATTTTATGCTTTCTTTTTATTTTCATTGGTCATGGAGACGTCACGTGTTCATCTAATGGTGTTAGTGTTTATGTGTGCAATAATTTTAAAATTCTATTCTTTTTATTTTCATTGGTCATGGAGACGTCATGTGTTCATCTAATGGTGTTAGTGTTTATGTGTGCAATAATTTTAAAATTCTATTCTTTTTATTTTCATTGGTCATGGAGACGTCACGTGTTCATCTAATGGTGTTAGTGTTTATGTGTGCAATAATTTTAAAATTCTATGCTTTCTTTTTATTTTCATTGGTCATGGAGACGTCACGTGTTCATCTAATGGTGTTAGTGTTTATGTATGCAATAATTTTAAAATTCTATGCTTTCTTTTTATTTTCATTGGTCATGGAGACGTCACGTGTTCATCTAATGGTGTTAGTGTTTATGTGTGCAATAATTTTAAAATTCTATGCTTTCTTTTTATTTTCATTGGTCATGTGGACATCGCCTGTTCATTTAATGACGTTAGTATTTATGTTTGTAATAATTTTAAAATTAAATTAAATTTTTTTCTTTTCATTGGTCGTGGAGACGTCAAGTGTATATGTAATGGTGGTATTGTGTATGTATGTAACAATTTTTAAATTATCTGTTTTTTTATTTTGTTTTCATTATTTGTGGAGACGTCACGTGCTTATCTAATGGCGTTTCTGTTTATTTATGTAACATTTTTTAAAATTCTATGTTTTTTTTTGTTTTGTTTTTTTTTGTTTTGTTTTGATTGGTTGTAGAGATGTCACGTGTATATCCAACGACGTCAGTGTTTATTTATGCGTCAGTTTTTAAATTCTATGTATAGAATAGAATAGGTAGATTATTAAGTTGAAGGAAACCAACCTAAATGAACCCAAATAAACGAACTTTGGATGCGAACAATTTTGCTCCTCGAAAGTCATTATCAAATAATTTCCAGATCAATTAATCATTTGTAATCAGTAAGCCGACACCTTCAGTGAAGTCAAATGATATTTCATCGGCCACGTAGGTAATTATTTCAGTTCATCTAGACTCTAACCGTTGTAGTTCATTTAATCACGCAGAAACGTGAGTAGGCCGCGTCCGTTACTCACTCGCAGATTATTTTTATCCTATAATTATGGTATCATGGAATGACAAATTTATCCCCTTTTAATACACGCCTGTTATTAATTGAAATTTATATGCGGATAATTTTGTCTATTAACTTTACTTTAACTGTCTTGACAAACAAATCACTTAACGAAAAGCGAAATAAAGAAAGACTAGAAAATGGGAACTGTTTCTGTGGTGAATTTTTTTTTTTTTTTAATTATTATTAAAGTTCACTCAGTGCAAGGCTTGAGAGCCAATCGAAGTAGAGGATTACTCAATGAGCTGTATGATTATAAAAATAGAAAGTGGATATATAACGATTGACCGTTGAATTGAAAGTTATAAGTTTGTGGAGAAGCATCCGCATGGGAACCTGTTCCACAAAGTAACTGTACTCTGGCAAAAGCTGTCTGAGTGGAACTTCTTCCTTACAATTGGAATACGGAGGAAATGAAAGTGGTTCGACACCATCGATCTAGTATAGCCGGTCCACGCTGTAAAGATCTGAATAGATGGATGGAACTAAAGAACGGAGGGGGTCATCTGAACATTTACCATGGAAATAGCAATACAGTAGCGCTAAGTAGAGCGAAGGTAAGGGTTTCGAATATTTCGAATGGACAGTTGCTTTACTCAAAACCAAGGATTCCCAACCTTTTTGGCGTCATCACCCACTTTCACATGTGGGTCGATACTTACATTTGATGATCTCCAAATCAATGAGCAGTTCCAGGATGACAATAAGTCCATCGATGACCACAAAGGCGATAACAGTGTACTGCACGGCGTTGCTTTGCAGGAACGCCGCCAACTTCTGTCGATATCTGAAGAACAAAAAAAAAAAAAAAAGTCAGATATAACGTTTCGATGTAGGCTTATGCGTATAATACAGACATAAAAAAATGCTAAGATTATTTATGTGTGAAAGAGTTATATGCATGGGCTCTTCATTATCCGTAGGTTCGTTTTTCCACAGTTGCTAAACCGGAATCAAACCCAAGAAATAAGAAATTAAGTTTTATTTAACCTTCTCCCGGTTTTTTGCCCCTTTTCCTGCTTAGAATTGGATTTCTGGTTCCTTCTAAAGTCTTTTCACTGTCTTTCGCTCCCAGTATCCCCTTGAATCTTAGTGGCATCATCGCTTTTATTATAGTGAATTGATTCGATCCGAGCTCAAAGCAATCAATTGTCTAGCCACTGATGAACTGTGATACATATATGTATGTGGTTGACACTATATATATATATATATATATATATATATATATATATATATATATATATATATATATGTATATATATATTGTGTGTGTATATGTGTATTTAGGAAGCATTTTTTCATTGATGCATGTTTCATTAAATAATATAGACAAGTGTTGTCTATTTATTTTATGTGAATTCTTTTCATATCGTCTGATAAGCTTAATAACATTATCATTAAATGAAGAAAGAAAATCACAATATTGATACATATTTTTTAACCCAATGTAAGCTTTCGGCTTACATAAGCCATTATCAAAGATGACAATTACATTATGTTGTGGTAGGATCCACCTAATTTGCATAGTGGAGTACCGACCATATAAATATGGTTGGTACCGGGAAGACGGGGGAAGGAATCAAGAGATTCAATCCAGAGACTCTGCCCGACTGCGACTAATGTCAACCCATTCTACAGGAACGGTCTTCCCAAGAATATACAAAAGACTATATGTAAATATTGTGTACACTTTCTTGTTTCAATACAGTTTGTTCTAAGTATATTTTGTGTTGTATTATTATTCCATGCATTAGTCAAGTTTCAACACATTACAATATATTAAGCAATACACGGACAAAACAATAATGATAGTCTGTTTATGTTTACATGGAAGATTTCCAAGCAACGACAAACTCGTGCATACAAGATGCTGGAAGCGAAAATCGCACCGCATCTCATGACGTCACACATGACTAGGCGAGAGTGAAAACGAGAAGTATTAAGTATGGGAAGTCGTTGTTATAAACCAATGGTTTCTATTACCAATTATAGGCATTTAAGTATATTTGTGGAGATTTCATAGTTTATTTTGTTCAGGTTAGATTTCAACTGTATTGTGTATATAGCTTCAAGAATTTTTAGTTTTTGTTTATTGTTTTCATGTTTAAGTATAGTTGTGTTTTCAACAAGGATTTTCCGGAATTGTGTATGCGGCCAGGCATGTTGTTTTATATATATATATATATAACGAAAGAATATTAATATACAACCCAGTTTGTCTGAAGATTTTAATTTTTTTAATAATTTTTTATTGTTCAAGAATATATATATATATATATATATATATATAAGTCTACTTGCCCGAGAAACGCTACGCATGAATGAATACGTCTTCGGCTTTCAACCCAGATACGTGGTGCGAATTGATCAGGCATTCAACTGCTCAGCGATCCTACGACCACACCCGGTCATGGACCTGATGATATGGTGGTGGTGGTAATTTTCTTCCATATATTTAACTGCATGAATTATATTTAAATCAAACAAAAAATAACAATAAAAAAAATGCATATTCGATGGCGCTACAAACGTGATCTTAATTCTGCCACACTTAAAAACAAAATGTCAAATCTCCAAATCAATCGACTTACTGAATACAGGATTATCAAAAATTGTTTTAAACTTTTTGCTTCTATATCTGTCCATATTTCTAAGATATTGTACTTATTTACATTGTTCGAGCTATTGTCCTCATCTTCAGGATCTTTCTATACTTTTAATATTGTAATTATTTACCTCATTGTTGCTATATTCACAACGTTTCGACCGTTATACGCCTCGGCCTTCTTCAGGATCTGTCTAGAGTTCTGAGATGAGGTATTGTAATTATTTACACTATTGACATTGTTCGAACTGTTGTCCTCATCTTTGTTGCTATATTCACAACGTTTTGACCGTTATACGCCTCGGCCTTCTTCAGAACCTGTCTAGAGTTCTGAGATGAGGTATTGTAATTATTTACACTATTTACATTGTTCGGACTGTTGTCCTCATCTCTGTTGCTATATTCACAGCGTTGCGACCGTTATACGCCTCGGCCTTCTTCAGAATCTGTCTAGAGTTCTGAGATGAGGTATTGTAATTATTTACACTATTTACATTGTTCGGACTGTTGTCCTCATCTTTGTTTCTATATTCACAGCGTTGCGACCGTTATACGCCTCGGCCTTCTTCAGAATCTGTCTAGAGTTCTGAGATGAGGTATTGTAACTATTTACACTATTGACATTGTTCGGACTGTTGTCCTCATCTTTGTTGCTATATTCACAACGTTTCGACCGTTGCACGCTCCGGTCGTCGAAATAAAGTGTTCAGTTCGAAATTTCAATCACCTGAAGAAGGCCGGAGCGTACAATGGTCGAAACTTCATGAATATGACAACAAAGATGAGGGCAACAGTCCGAACAATGCAAATAACTTTTGCTCCTAATTCAGTAATAGTCTCTCTTCTTTGTTTTACGAAAACAAACCAATGCTAAAAGCAAACGATTGTTTAACAAATAGGGGTGGGATCTGCTGGTGGTGGTTGCTGGCTTTAGATCAGCAATGGTGCCGCTGTGATATATTTAGGACTAATTCTCTCAGCTTAAAACGATGTGACGCTTGACACAATTTAGAAGAAAAGAAATGATCGAGTTACTGAACATTGGGTTAATCAACTTTCTCCGTACGTCAAAAAAGATAGATAGATAGATAGATAGATAGATAGATAGATAGATAGATAGATAGGAAGGAAATGTTTATCAATCTAACATGTTTCAGTTATAAAAGCTTCATAGGAGAATGATATATGGAGAAAAAGCAGAAAGAAATTCTGTTATTTTTTACTTTAGTTTTGTTTGATTTTCATCAATCAAGCACGTTTCACGTGCATTCGACTAGGGAAAAAAACGTTAGTATAATTTATTGCGTTTCTAATTCAAGGAGAAACAACAAAGTTCCAAGAAAGTAAAGGATTATCTTGGTAAACATCTGTATTTGATCCCAACTCATGGATAGATAGATAGATAGATAGATAGATAGATAGATAGATAGATATTTGAACAAATTGAGATAGATAGATAGATAGATAGATAGATAGATAGATAGATAGATAGATAGATAGATAGATAGATATTTGAACAAATTTAGATAGATAGATAGATAGATAGAAACGAAAGGAAAGTTAACATGTTTGTAAGTATATAAATGCACAAACTGTGAAAGCGTGATCAATATGAAGATAGATAGATAGATAGATAGATAGATAGATAGATAGATAGATAGATAGATATGAACGGAGAGAAAACATAATATTTGAAAAGACTGAAATAGATAGATAAACATTTAAACAGACTTAAAAGGATAGATAGATAGATAGATAGATAGATAGATAGATAGATATATAGATAGATATATAGATAGATAGATATAGAGAGATATAGAGAGATAGATAGATATGAACAGAGAGATATAGATAGATAGATAGATAGATAGATAGATAGATAGATATAGATCGATTGATAGATATGAACAAAGATAGATAGATAGATAGATAGATATGAACAGAGAGATATAGATCGATTGATAGATATGAACAAAGATAGATAGATATGAACAGAGAGATATAGATAGATAGATAGATAGATAGATAGATAGATAGATAGATAGATATGAACAGAGAGATATAGATCGATTGATAGATATGAACAAAGATAGATAGATATGAACAGAGATAGATAGATAGATAGATAGATAGATAGATAGATAGATAGATAGATAGATACTGGGATAGTTATACAGATGTGGACAGAAATGGATAAACATTAGAATAGAAAACAAAAAAAGGCAAACGGAAACGGGAAATCGGCGATACGGAAAGAAAAATAGAAGATCGAAGTAATTGGAACTTTTGTAAATCGATGCTTTCATTCATTTCCATCGATGCGGCAATCAATCGTCTTCGATAAGTGTCTGCTTTTAGACCCTATTGCTTGACTCACAAACGTTGTTGTCATGACAATTGTCCAAGAAATGAATTGACCAAAGTTCAATACGATCCAATTTCATACATCTCACGTGACCCAGTAACTGGACGCGGCGTCTTTCACTGCCGATATCACGTGATTGGTTACGGTCCCCGATGTTAAAATTAGGCATTTCGAACAGTGGTGAGTAGATGGATGTAAATGCCAAGAAATTCTAACTTTACGTTTTCTTGTGAGCATGAAGATAATTTTAAAGAACCATACGTTTACGACATTAAATGACTGCCTTGCTTGAAAAACGCATTGTTCATTGCCAATAATACTTTCCTCAGAAACGATTGTATACAATTATTTTTTTCTTCTTCATATCGGTACCGTGTGGATTCGTGTATATGTCGATAAATATAATACAAAAAAAATATATGAGAGAATTGCGGGTAGACATATATTTCAGATTATTATTTTGCCGATTTTTAACAATAGTAGCTAGACCGACAGACCCGTCAAATCCGACCTGGCAACTGCTCTCGAAAAGGACATTTAATCACCACAGAGAACCTTTTCCTGTCTGTTATCAGTATGGCTGATGCTAACCTCCAGGAGAGCAACACTCTACACCATTTTGGCCTCACGTTTTCCACTGACATGAAATGACTATCTCTGTGATATCATCAGTTCCCAACTAGGTATTTATATAGATGACACTACCATTTACTCCTGTCCAACAAAGTAAACCTGGCAATTACTCTCAAAAAGGACCTCCAATCAGTGGTTAACTGGAGCAAGAAATGGCTTGTAAATTTCAACTCCTCCGAAACGAAACTGCTTTCATTTAACCACCACGGAGAACCTTTTTCTGCCTGCTATAAAAATGGCTGATGCTAACCTCCAGGTTAGCAAAACTCTACACCTTTTTGGCTTCCTGTTTTCCACTGACATGAAATGAAACGACTATCTCTATGATGCCATCAGTTCCTGTTGTTGAGTAGTTTTCACAGTGGAGGCTTGCATTTCAATAAGTCGGTCCTAAATTAGGTTCGACGTACAAAACGTTAGGAACTTGAAATAAGAGTTAATGACGCAGCAATCTAGTTATGATGTTTGATACTTCAATGTCAGACAGACTCACTCAACACCACTGAGCCCAACTGGCCACTACTACTACTAATTATTATCTGTGGGAGAGCCTATTACAATAGAATAGGTATTATGGTATAACAGTTCCCAACTAGGTATTTATGCAGATGACACTACTATTTACTCCGTCTTAGTAACAAATTCTACAAATCCGACCAATTAAACCTGGAAACTGCTTCCCTGATAACTATAATCTTAAAAAATATAAATGTAATGTCAATCGACATCTTCTGTCGCCTTGATTGTCGTCCTTCTTATTATTCTCCTCCGTTCTTCCTTTTATCGTTTCCTTAACCCCCACCCTATACCCAATCTTTTCCCTTACTTCAACTCTCTGTAGCCCCTTGCGTACTAGTGGCACACCCGCCTTGCTTAGGGTGAATTGCTTAAAAAACTGATTTGTTATGTATGTTGCTAAATGTCGTGGACAATGCACCGCGTGACCACTTTTTGTTGTTGCTGTTACTGCAGGAAATGTGTGTTGCTGCTCCAAAAGTTAAATGAAAAAAACGGAAGTGATTATCGTCAACGGGCAACAATCCAACAACACTTAAAAATCTGTCTATATCTCTGAGATGAGGTATTATGATTATTTACATTATTCGGATTTGATTAGGCACATATATATTCGACAAATTAGTGAGGCGTGCGATTGCCAGATAATATACATTTCTATATATTGTATTTACTACAAATAGCTTAGTTTGACACAAGGACACGTGGGCTGAGGAGAAAATTGTTGAATACGTGACACGTCTCCGTCATCCTTGAATCGCATCGTTAAGAGTTACTGCTTTTGCCTGGATTCGAACACTGATCGCTTGGCATCGGTAAGAAACGCTCATCTGTACGCAGAACTTTCTTGTGTAAACTTAGTATTTACTTAACCTTATTTACACACAAGGCCAACAGTTCCAGATTAGAACCAAGAAGTCATTTTCTTTTTTCTTTTTTTTTTTCCTTTTTTAACTGATCCTATGCTTTCTTTGAAAATGTACCTGGAAATTAAAACCTTGCGTCCAGCTTTTATAAACTAGTGTGCCCCTGTCGACAAAAATGACGGCAATTGTTAGAAAGTTTTATTGGTGATGCAATGAAACAAAAGTCTTGAAACGATGTATTGACATTCAATAAAGCGGAGAATTCACAACTAAACTAGAGGCCAATGGACCGTTTAATTAAACCCATTCCCTTTACATTTTTAGGTGTTCGGGTCAAAACGAATGAAACGCGGTCAGCGTGAATGGCATGCAACTGAAATGTGGGTAACACGATGGCGATTGTGCTCCTCTTAAACTTTTTCGTTAGTTGATTAGTTACAAACAGCTTAGAATAATCCTATGGAATTCACCCGTCTTTCTCTTCATACGTCCACGGATGACGAGGAGGGAGTTAGTAGTTTGCATACGTAATTATCCTCATGAGTTTTAAGGGTCTAAAGATGAGTAGATTCTCGATATTTTTTCCTAATGTGCACCATAACACGTTCGTCAAAATTACAGTTAATTGTAATGTTCTCCTCAACCTCCGTTGATGTCTTTATTATTATTATTATTATTATTATTATTATTATTATTGTTGTTGTTGTTTTATTTCATTTGGTTTCTGGTGTATACTCGTTTCTTTCCGGGTCCCGACCAGAGACCTAAGGTCAGAGATGGCATCATGACATTTTCCACCGAGCAGTTTTCAAAAAAAAAATCGTACATATTTTTACATACATAAAGCCCTTAGTATCTGTCTATATTTCTGAGATGAGGTGTTATGTACACTATTTACATTATTCGGACTATTATCCTCATCTTTGCTGTCATATTTATCAGAAAGCTTCGGCCGTTGTACGCTCCGGCCTTCTTCAGGTGGTTGGGTCCTTCAGTATCTGTCTATATTTCTGAGATGAGGTATTATGTACACTATTTACATTATTCGGACTATTGTCCTCATCATTGTTGCCATATTTATCACAACGTTTCGGCCGTTGTAAGTTCCGGCCTTCTTCAGGTGGTTGGAATGTCGAACTGAACCCTTTATGTCGCTCACTGGGGTAGACTGTTCTAGTTCCACGTGCCATGTTTAATGGATGTCAGTTATCAGTTATCTCCTGTTAATTCCCCTCTCCAATTTCTCCACTGCCTTAACCAGGTATTGAACTCACACTCTTTAGGTCCTGTCACTGGATCTAACTAACACCTTTATCCACTGTGCCATGTGTCCTTGAGGACATATGTAAATAGTGTAGATAAAGCCCTTCGTAATTTTTTGTATTACTTTAAGGATTATTATTATTATTATTATTATTATTATTAAGTGGATAAAGAAAAGTGCAAAGATTTGATGGCAGTGACATCAGCAGCAACAGCAGTAGTGGTAATCATAATGACTATTATTGAGATACCAGAATTGGAAAAGAATATTTTTTTATAATTCTATAATATCTAGTCTTCCATAATGACAAAAGGCAAATAGTAAATAACAAACTTTGATCAAAATATCTAATGATACAAAATAATTGCTGATCTAAGGTTCGTTTCTTTCCGGTTGCAGAATGTTCCCGATTCTTGCGTATCTGTCTCTACAGCGAATTAATTTTTTATAATCACAATTGTTGACTTCTAGTCTAAATGCAAATGTTTTTTAAATAAGAATTGCTGGTGCACACCTTTCATCCAGTATTTACCAGGGAGTGTATTTCAACTTGAACAAGCGACAATACGCCATCGTCATTTAAAAGTAAAATTACAATAAATATGCAGAAATTTTGATCTTGGTAAAAGACCAAAGAAAGGAATTTTCAAAAGAAATAATAAAAAAAAAAAAAAAAACTACTGACATATATTTTTCATCCCCTTAATTTAATTATCCACTTACGTATATATTACGTTAGCGCTCGATCGTCGGAGTTAAGCAACGTCGATCCTGGTCAGTACCTAGATGGGTGACTGCTTGGGAATGCCCAAGTGCTATAAGCTTGGATGTGCGGGTCGTGTAATGGATAATGGCTCGGCATTGTTAATCGGAGAGCCGAGTTCTAATTCCTGTTCGATCTGTTATATTCATTTAAGCGCAAATACTCCTTGGAAAGATATGACTCCGCCTCTTCTTCTCCTAAATATGGGTTAATTAGTAAACTTTGTGTCACTAAATCATTATCCCCACCCACCCAAATTCTTAGAATCAAAAAAAGTCTATGGCTTTAAATAACCTGTAAAAGGTTGATAAATCGTAAAAAACGAATCAATCAAAAAATTTTTAAAGGTACCAAACGATATTTTAATTACAAATATTTTTATTCGGGTAAATACATAGATGAGTAACCGTTTGGCAATACCAGTGGATGTACGCTTGGATGTGCGGATGGTGTATTTGATAATGGATCAGAATTAGAAATCGAGAGCCGAGATCGAATTCCAGTCGAGTTCGCTATATTCACTTACGCGAAAATATCCCCGGGAAATGTATGAATTCATCGCTTCTCCCCCAGCTATGGGTTAATTAGTAGGATATTTGTCAGTAAATCATTATTATTTGCAAAACATTCTTACAATCTAAAATATTTTCTCGCTTTAAATAAACAGCAAAGGGTTGATAAGCCGTAAAAATTAAATCCATCAAAAAACAAATTTCATTTTAAAAGAGGGAAATTCTTGTCCTAGTTGAAAATTAGTTTCGTTTTTTACATTATTTTTTTTTTATTTATTTCTTATTTATTTCTGTAAACCCATTGTGGAGCTTAGGGAGAGCTGTAACCGTACTAAGAGATACTATTGTTGTTTCTGTAACACGTGAACGTGGGCGGTTTGCTAGATGAACTGCCTTACGAAGCTAAGTACTCCCTTTACACTGCTATTTATTCATAGCTGGGGAGGGGAAAGTGGGTTCATGCCTTACTCATGATAATGAACTTTGCCAGCCTGTCTTCCAATACAGAATTTCTCCTTCAGCCAACTAATTCACTTCGGTCGACAATTTTAGTTGTTTATATTCACAACTTCGAAAATGGTGGCAGCAATGAGTTGTCGCTGACGAAAACGAGGC